CCCCCCCCCCCCCCCCCCCCCCCGTCACCACCATTCTGCTTTCTGTCGCTATCTGTTAGTTTGCATATCCTAAAATTTTATATACATGGAATCAAATGGTATGCAGTCTTTTTTTCTGGCCTCTTTCACTCAGCATCCTTATTTCGAGACTCATCCATGTTGTACATTACTGTGTACTAAGAATTCATTCCTTGTTATCGCTGAGTGGTATGGACGTCTGAGTTGTTTCCAGTTTGGGGCGATTACACATACAGCTACTGTGAACATTTGTGTACAAACTTTTGAAAGGACATTAAAAGGCTTTCATTCTTCTTGGGTAGATACATAGGTGTGAAATGCCTGGACCATATGTTTATGTTTTTAAGAAACTGACGACCTGTTTCCCAAAGTGGCTGTGCCGTTTTACATTCCCACCAGCGGGGCAGGAGAGGTCCACCTCCTCCACAGCCTCAGCAACACTTGGTATGGTCCGTCTTTTTAATCTAGCCATTCTAACAGGCGCAGTGGTATCTCATTGTGATTTTGATTAGCATTTCTCTAATAGCTAATGATGTTGAGCATTTTTCTTGTGTTTACTGACTATTCATCTGTCTCCTTTGGAGAAGTATCTGTTCAAATCCCTTATGCATTTTTTATTGGGTTTTTTGTTTTCTTATTGAATTTTGAAAGTTCTTGATATAGTCTAGATATACATCCTTTATCAGACATGATAATCTAAATATTTTCTCCTAGTCTGTGGCACTTTTCATTCTCTTAACAGCTTTTCAGAGCAGAAGTTTTAAACTTTGATAAAATCTAATTTATCTATTTATTCCTTTGTGTATCATTCTTTTCTTGTTATATCTAAGAAATCTTGGCCTAACTCAAAGTCACAAAGATTTTTTTCCTGTTTTTCTCTAGAAGTTTTATAATTTTAGATTTTGCATTTAGGTCTGTGATCCATTTAATTTTGCATGTAATGTGAGTTATGAATTGAAGTTCACTTTTTTGTATCTAGATATCAAATTGTTCTAGTATCTTTTGTTGAAAAGACCATCCTTTCTCCACTGAACTGCCTGTGCACCTTTGTTGAAAATAAGTTGTCCATATATGTGTGGGTCTATTTTAGGCTCTATTTTGTTCCGTTGATCTGTTTGTCTATTTTTACACCAGTTCCACACTGTCTTAAATAACATAGCTTTACAATAGGTCTTGAAATCAGGTAGTATTGATATTCCAACTTTGTTCTTTTTTTTTTGACTATTCTAGTTCATTTCCGTTTCTATGTGGGTTTTAGAATCTGGTAACAATTTCTACAAAAAGGTGCTGGGATTGCAATAAATCTGTAGGTCAATTTGGAGAAAGCCAACAGATTGACAACATTGAGTCTCCCAATCCCTGGACATGATATATTTCTCAATTTATTTAGGTGGTCTTGAATTTCTCTCAGCAGTCTTTTGTAGTTTTCAGTGTACACATTTTTCACATCTTTTGTCAGATCTATCCCTATGTACTCTGTATTTTTGATGCTATTGTAAATGATACTATTTTTTAATTTCAATTCCTGATTGTTCATTACTGGTAGATGGAAATGCACTTGTGTTTTTTATATTGACCTAGCATCCTACCAGCTTGTTAAACTCCCTTATTCATAGTTTTTTGTACATTCCTTCAATTTCTACATAGACGATCATGTCATCTGTGAATAGTGATAGTTTTACTTTTTCCTTTCCAATCTGAATGCCTTTTATTTATTTTCCTTGCCTTATTGGCTGGAACTTCCAGTGTAATGTTGAGTAGAAGTGGCAAGAGAGGACATTCTTAGCTTATTTCTGGTCTTAAGGAGAAAACATTCAGTCTTTCACTATTAAGCGTGATGTTAGTTGTGGGTTTGTCATCGACGCCCTTTATCAGGTTGAGGAAGTTTTCTTATATTCCTGCTTTGTTGAGGGATTTTGTAAAAAACTAGGAATGGATGTCACATTTTGTCATATGCTTTTTCTGTGTCTATTGAGATATGGTTTTCAATTTTTTTAGGGGGTTAATATGGCAAATCACAGTGATTGATTTTTTGAATGTTAAATTATCCGTATAGTCTTCAGTAAACTCCAGTTGGTCAGGATGTATTATCCTTTTTATGTATTGTTGGATCCGATTTTCTAAAAATTTGTTTAGAAATGTTGCATGTTCATGAAAGATATTGGTCAATAACTGACTTTTCTAGTAATGTCTTTGTCTGGCTTTGGTATCGCGGTAATATTGGCATCACAGAATAAGCTGGGAAGCATTCTGTCCTTTTCAGTTTTCTAAAAGAGTTTGTGTAGAACTGGTATTATTTCTTCCTTAAGTGATTGGTGGCATTCACCAGGAAAGCCATCTGGGCCTGGGATTTTCCTTGTGAAAAGATTTTTCGCTATTAATTCAATTTCTTTAATAGATATCGGGCTAATCTCAGGCTCTCTCTTTCTTCTTAAGTGAACTTTCATAGTTTGTACCTTTCAAGGAGATTATCTGTTTCACCTAAGTTGTTGAATTTATTGACATAACGTTTTTCATGATACTGCCTTATTATCCATTTCATGTCTGTGGAATCTGTAGCGATGCCACCCCGCTCATTCCCCATGTTGGTCATTGTGTCCTCTCTCTTCATTGTCCTGATTGGTCTGGTAGAGGTTTATCAGTTTTACTGATCTTCTCCAGGGACCAGCTTCTAGTTCCATTAATTTCATCTATTTCTCATCAGAGTTCTGTAATTTTGCTGTTTCATGTGGTTTGAATCTGTTGTTAGGTGCATAAACATTTAGGATTCTTTTGGCATCTTGATGAATTTTATCATTATGAATTGACTTTATCTCTGGTAATATTCTTTGCTCTGAAATCTCTCTGAAATTTTGTCTGATATAAATATAGCTACTCCAATAATTGATTAGTATTAGCATGGTACACCTTTTTCTATATATTTACTTTTTTTTTTTTTACTTCCCTCTTTATCTATTTATTGTTAATTATTTTATGGAGATCATAGTGGTTTATAACTGTATAATTTCAGATGTACATTATTATATATCAGTTTCTGTATAGACTGCATTGTGCTCACCACCAATAGTCTGGTTTTTATCTGTCACCATACATATGTGCCCCTTTGTGCCTTTAGCTCACTCCCAACGCCTTCCCCTCTGGTAAGCACTAATCTGTTCTCTTTATCCATGTGTTTGCTTATCTTCCACATGTAAGTGAAATCATATGGTGTTTGTCTTTCTCTGTCTGGCTTATTT